TCCAGTGTTATGCAAGCCCCTGAGAATTTCCCTGCACAGGGACCTCTCCAGGGACTGGGTAAGCCAAGTGCTCCCATTGTGTGCTCCAAGGACATTCAGCACTTTTTTGGGTGTGTTTTTTTTACCAACTTTAGTGATCTTTAGATCAGCCCCCTGAAGCAGCTAGAGCAGCACTAGGAATCTGGGCCCACAGCTTCTAACCAGTTGTGTCCTGTTGGATGGCTGTGTAAGGCAGGTTTCGCTGTATTCCAACACCGGCTTTTGGTACTGAATTCTATCATGTTCCCTCAGCAGTGTATTGTTCCAGCAGCCTTATCTTGTTTTTCTGTTTGCATCATGCAAGGTACCTGCCACAAGCAGCCCTCTACTCTGACAGGCACCCTGCTGTGCACAGTACAAGAGATCTGAATAATTCATTTTAGAAGTAAGTTTAGTTAGACAGATGATATAAAAATGTAAAGAAAAGGGGCGTACTTTACACTGCAATAAAGTGAGGCTTCAGGGCAGTATGCAGTATTGTTGGCATCTAAATAAATAGAAGTCAGGGTAAATTTGTACCTAATAGACTACTCAAAGTGTGTGTGTATATATATATTTACACACACCCAGTTATGTGTGTACACACATATGCATATGTATAAATAGAACAAGCTTTCCTGGGCTAAAGCTCACTTCATCAGTTGCTGTAAAAAGATGTGCACAACTATATTTAACTGCAGACAGTTCCAGCAGTGCCCTCTCCCTGGGGCCAAACCATGCAGCCCCCATGGTTACAGTTCAGAAAAGAGATGGAAAAAATGATCAACACAAGACAGGGCTAGCAGAAAGGCCTCACAAAGAATCAAACCAAGGAGAGAAGACAGAAAGAAGTTGAACAGGTAGACATGATCAAATAATAAAGGAAAAATATATGCTCAACTTGTGTGAATGGGCATGACTCTTTTTGAATTTAGTTTACACCAGCTGAGGATCTGGTTTTGTACTTGAACTGACTTTAATGGAGTTACTCTTAATTTACAGCAACGCGAGGATAAGCAGACCTATAATTTCTTTTTGCATCCTATTCTATAAAGGGCAAGAAGG